ACCTGGCTTCAAGTTCCAGTTTTGTTATTTACTAGCTGGGTAGCCTTAAGTAAGTTACTTAACCACTTGCTGCTTCAATATCTTTATATGTAAAATTAAGGTAATGAAAATACCTACATTATGTATGAGATTGCTATGACTGGTGAACAGGTCTACATGTAAAATATGTGAAACAATGCCTGGCATATTTTAAAAACTAGATATATTTTAGGTGTTACTATAATTGAAACAATCCAAAAATGCAGAATTCCCCAAAGTATAAGATAACAGTAAATACTGTCAGATTTTCTATCACATAGCATAATTTTTTAAAGATTTATTTAAAAATCTACAAGCAGTAAGGTTCACTTTTTAAAGACTATACATTCTATGGATTTTCACAAGTGTGTATAGTATTGTGACTGTCAGAGCTGTGTGAACCAGAGCAACTGCATCTTAAATAGGAGCTGGATAAAATGAGGCTGAAACCTACTGGGCTGCATTTTCAGACGGTTAAGACATTCTAAGTCACAGGATGAGATAGGAGGTCAGCACAAAATACAGATCATAAAGACCTTGCTGATAAAACAGGTTGCAGTTAGGAGTCAGCCAAAACCTACCAAAACCAAGATGGTGACGAGAGTGACTTGTGGTCGTCCTCACTGCCACACTCCCACCAGCACCAAGACAGCGTAAAAACACCATGGCAACATCAGTAAGTTACCCTATAAGGTCTAAAAAGGGGAGGCATAAATAATCATCCCTTGTTTAGCATATCATCTAGGAATAACTATAAAAATGGGCAACCAGCAGCTCCTGGGGCTACTCTGTCTGTGGAGTAGCCATTCTAAATTCCTTTACTTTCTTAATAAACTTCAGTTGGCCCTGTGGACTCACCCTGAATTCTTTCTTTCATGAGAGCCAAGAACCCTCTCTTGGGGTCTGGATCAGGACAGCTTTCCTGTAATATAGCCTAATCAGGAAATGGAATAGTTTTCTCAACCTCCTAAACAACTTCTTCTTCTTCTATTTTTTTTTTTTTTTTTTTTGAGACGGAGTCTTGCTTTGTTGCCAGGCTGGAGTACAGTGGCATGATCTCTGCTCATTGCAACCTTCTGACTCCCTGGTTAAGGAATTCTCCTGCCTCAACCTCCCGAGTAGCTGAGATTATAGGCATGCACCACCATACCCAGCTAATTTTTGTGTTTTTAGTAGAGACGGGTTTCACCATGTTGGCCAGGATGGTCTCCATCATCTGACCTTGTGATCCGTCACCTCGGCCTCCCAAGGTGCTAGGATTACAAGCGTGAGCCACTGCTCCAGGCCAATCCCCTAAACTCCTATTGGGTTGTTTATTTGTAGTCAAACCACCTTCCTACTTGTAATCTTTGCCAACCACTGATCTTCTTCCCTCTCCTTTGGTTTTGCTTTGTCTGGAATGTCATATAAATGAAATAATCCAGTAAAATATTTTAAAATCTTATATTTTGAGTCTGGCCTCTTTCACTCAATATAATGCATTTGAGATTAACTCAACATGTAGTTTGTCATTATTCTGAGTAGTATGCTATTATGTAGATGTACTACTGTTTGTTTATCCGTTCTCCCCCACTGACATTTGAGTGGTTTCCAGTTTTTGGTAACTATGAATAATGTTGCTGTAAATAATTATGTACAGGTTTTTATGTGAACATAGATTTTCATTTGTCTTGAATATTCAGTAGTAGAATTTCTGGGTTTTATTATAAGTGTACATTTAGCATATTAAGAAACTACCAAACTTTTCCAAAGTGGCCATCCCATTTTCCATTCCCATCAGCAATGTTTTCAAGTTCTGGTTGCTCCACATCCTTTTCAGCTCCTGGTATTATCAGTAGTTTTATTGTTTTTAAAATTTTTTTTTAACTATTCCAAATAAGTTTATGGTTAGCATAATTCTGAACCAACTTTGTCCATCAAACTCTTGAGACTTGGAAGAAGATACAGAATAGGGCTACATTAAATGCAGAGCCACATAGGAGCTAATAAGGAAGAGATGGAGAGACCATTAGATTTGTGAGAGCTTTGCAATTTCTGTCATATTCAATGTTGTATCCCTAGATGACTAACATAGTCTCTGGCACACAGTAATTGGGATATCTTTGTATGTTTATTGAATCATTGAAAATCAACAAATGATTGAAAGGGAAGGGATAGAAGTAGGATGGAAAAGTAATTTGAGATTAGATTTGGTCTGAGTAATCCCAGTGTATTCATGGGACCTTTCTACCTCTTTAAGTCTATGTTTAGAGACATATTTTGGTGCTAATTTCTGGCCCCTTAGTAGGAGAAAGAGAGCATGATATATCTGAAGAAGCAGTAGGCAGAAAAGATTTGATGCTACGAATTTGTTATGTGGATTTAGGAAAGTCTTCTTAACTTTCCTGAGCCTCAGCTTCATCACTGCATAATGAAAAGATCTTATTAGATGATAGCTAAGCTACTTTATATTTTTTCTGTTAATCACATCAAATCAGAAATTGGTGAGGAAGAAGCATGCCAGAGCCTTGATGGGGGGAGCATTATATATGGATACAATGTGAAGTGTGGCCCTGTAGGGAGTTGAGGGGTGAGTGTCTAAACATAGAGCTAGCTAGTCACTGACTGGCAAAAACAAAAAACAAAACAAAATAACCAGTAGATAGAAAAACGTAGTTACAGGGTTTTCAAATAGAGCAGTAGCACTGAGCATTGCAGGATTGTGGATCGAGGCAGGGTGGGGTGGGTGTATAAAAGGAAGTAGGCATTGAAAATACCAATTTAGACATTTGTAGGGTTTTTTTTTTCCCCCTGGGGAGAAGCTAGCTGTAGTGTCATCAATGCAAAGAGAAGGATCTGAGCCTCAGAAAAATAAAAGTTGAGGATAGGTGGTAACACAGACCACTCCAGGCCCTATGTGGGTTCTGGGAATTATTCAGCCTGCTGCTTTCCAGTGGTCTTTTTCTCTGCCCTTACTCCACTACCCCACCTCTTAAAAAGTTTAGATCTAGAGTTTAGCGAAAAGCCAGCTCTTAGTTGGTATTTTTATTCAGTTTGTATTTTGAAGGATTTTATACACGTACTACTGTCAAGTATCAGCAGAAATTTTAAAATATACTTAGTAGTTGGTTGGGCATGGTTGCTTACCCTGAAATCGCAGCACTTTTGGGGGCCGAGGTGGGTGGATCACGCGGTCATGATATCAAGACCATCCTGGCCAACGTGGTGAAGCCTCGTCTCTACTGACAATACAAAAATTAGATGGGCCTGGTGCCGCGTGCCTGTAGTCCCAGCTACTCGGGAAGCTGAGGCGGGAGAATTGCTTGAACCTGGGAGGCGGAGATTGCAGTGAGCTGAGATCATGCCACTGCACTCCAGCCTGGCTACAGAGCAAGACTCTGTCTCAAACAAACAAACAAACAAACAAACAAAAAACACTTAGTAGTCAGTCTTGATTGTATGTTTTAAGGAATTTGACCTGTTTTGTTTTTGTCTGTGTGTCATTTAAAAAAAGCACCATGACATTTGAAAATTTATTCTGTTTCTCATTGTGATTCTTTTATAATATTCAGAGGTCTTGATCTCTGGCATTCCTTCTTTACTATGTAGATTTTAAGGCCTTTTTTAAAAATTGTTTTACTCTTTCTAACAATTTTATTTTGAGACAAAACATAGTCTTTCTCTAATATAGTTTAGGTTATAAAATCAAATGTGTATGTATTTTAGATCGTGTTTCCAACAAGCATTTATTTTAAAACATCAGTATGATGCTTTGCTTATGAGGACCCCCTATAGTAATCCCTTGGAAATAGCCAGTGAAGAGTCTGAGTTCTCCTTAACCCTTCAACTCATAAAGAACCAATTTAAGGGCAGGTGCCCAAGATGTTATTTTTAGATTCTAAGGTAAAGAATCAATATTTCTGAATTTTTAAAAAAATTTCAATATACTCTGCTGAATTGCCATTGTTTTTAGGTGTAGAGTAGCCCCTCCTCACCCACAGTTTTGCTTTCTGCAGGTTGTTATCCGAGGTCAGCTGTGGTCTGAAAATATTATATGGAGAATTCCAGAAATAAACAATTAATGGGTTTTAAAATTTGTGTGCCATTCTGAGTAGTGAGTGGGTGAAATCTGATGCCGTGCCTCTCTGTCACATCTGGGATGTGAATTATCCCTTTGTCCAGTACTTGACGCAACATATGCTTTGCTGCCTGCCTTTTGTTAGTCCTTAATAGCCATTTTGGTGATCAGATTGACTGTTAAGGTATAGCAGTGCTTGTGTTCAAGGAGCCTTTATTTTACTTAATAATACTTTATTAATAATATTAATCTCTCACCATGCCTAATTTGTAAGTTAAACTTCATCATGGTATGCATGTATAGTATATGTAGGGATTAGTACTATCTGTGATTCAAGCATCCACTGGGGGTCTTGGAATGGATCCAAAGTGGGGACAAAGGCTTCTTAAACTAGATAACTCTTTTTGAGGTCAGACATTTATTCTGTTGAGAATATCAATTTCTTTCTTTCTTTTTTTTTTTTTTTTTTTGAAACAGTCTGACTCTGTCATCCTGGCTGGAGTGCAGTGGTGTGATCTTGGCTTACTGCAACCTCTACCTCAGCTCTGCCTTTTACATAGCTGGGATTACAGGCACACTACCACACCCAGCTAATTTGTGTATTTTTAGTAGAGATGGGGTATCACCATGTTGGCCAGGCTAGTCTTGAACTCATGGCCTCAAGTGATTGGCCCGCACTTGGCCTCCCAAAGTGCTGGGATTACAGCTGTGAGTTCCTGGCCAGAGAGTATCAAGTACTGGCAACTTGTTAGACCAGTAGAGCATGTAGTAGGGTCATCTCTTTGAAATTCAGGCTCTTATATTGCTTATGAGAGCCTTTCTGTAGCCCTATAGTTAAAGATGATTTTATGCTTCATCATTCTGAAATTGAAGTTGAGACATTAAATGCATAGTAACAAACTATATCCTTTTTTATATCTTTCAGAATCATGGTGTCATGGAAAGGGATTTACTTTATACTGACTCTGTTTTGGGGAAGCTTTTTTGGAAGCATTTTCATGCTGGGTCCCTTTTTACCTTTGATGTTTGTAAACCCATCTTGGTATCGCTGGATCAACAACCGCCTTGTGGCAACCTGGCTCACCCTCCCTGTGGTAAGTTACACACCAGAGGAGACTGTCTGCTTGTCCTAGAGTGCCCCCTACCCTTGATAGATACCTAAATCCATGGATGTTCAAGTCCCTCCAATATTTACAGGTATCTTATGCACATCCTTCTGTATGCTTTAAATAATCTCTAGATTGCTTATAATACCAAATACAATGTAAATGCTATGTAAATAGTCGTTATTGTTTGGGAATTGTATTAGGAATAATGACGGGAATAGAAAGTCTGTGCATCCTCAGTACAGGCTCAGCCATCCTTTTTTTTCCGTGAATATTTTTGATCCATGATTGTTTGAGTTTGAGTTCACAAATGCGGAACCCAAGGATGTGGAGGGCTGAATGTATTTTTCTGTGTTCCAATGGGCTTCTTAGATCTGTAGGTTGGTTGGTTGGTTTTTTTTTTAACTGAGAAATTTTAGACCCATTTTTTCACATTTTTTTTTTCCTGACTTATTCTCTCCTCACTTTGGGACTACAATTATATGTATGTTTGATTTGTTACACATGTCACAAAGGCTCTCTTTTTTCTTTCCCTGTATTTTTTCCTCTATTCTTCATATTGAATGATTTCTGTTTATCTGTTTTCAAGCTCAATGACCCTTTCTTCTGTCATCTTTATTCTGCTGTTTTGTTCATCTAGTGAATTTCTGTTTAAAATATTGTAAGTTCTAGAATTTATTTTGGGTTCTTTATTGTGTCTCTTACTTTCTTGAGATTTCTCATTTATTCATTAATTATAGCCATATTTTCCCTTATGTCATCTGGGTGATGTCTAGTACCTTTTACTCTGTCAGGGCTGGTCTTTTAGGCAAAATTTCTTCTTGCTTTTTTAATATAAGTATATTTTGTTTTGTGATGGGATTACAAGAGTAGTTGGCAGGATCTCACTCTGCCTGGTGATAGAGTGAGACTTTGTCTCAAAATAAATAAATAAATACAAACCAATCACTTTGTCTGATGGTCAGGTAGAGTAATAGCAATATAGTACAATTTTGGGAGACAAGTGGCTGAGCTGGACTTATTGATAGTGTGATCTTTTGAGATGCACCATCTTATGAGATTTTCAAAGATAATTTCATCTATTCCTAACTTTTGCTTTATTAGCTGTTTGGACAGTTTAACACATAGGTGAGATTTAACTACCACAGTACTAGTAAAAAATTAGTATAAATTTGGAAAACTGCTGTCACTCAGCTGTTTCATTTACTAGTTACAGCATATTGGGCAGAGAAAGTTTTTCTAGTTGAGAAATGTATAGACTTTGAATTCCTTATAGCTAGGTTACAGAAAAATTGATATTCTAGTTTTGAGACAGTGAACATCTCTGTTGAAAGAAACAGAGAAGAACTGTCAAGGGTGTCTTTTATCACCTTTTATCTCATACTTGTAGAAGGAGCTAAAGGAGTTTTTATTTTTAAGCAATAGCAAAATGTTATTTTTAAATTCAGAGTGAATTTAATCTAAAATTTATTGCTTTATCCCTTATTGATGTACTTTATTTTAAGCAATCCCAGAAAGTTAAAAATAATTTTCAACTAAAAATAAATTAGGATAAACGTATTTAAACTAATTATTGCTTCACAAAAATAGTCACAAAATGATCTGCTCTTTCGTTAAGTTTCTCTTGTGGATTAAAATGATTTTGTTGGCAAGATTTTTCTTGTCTTACTATTTTTAAGGAGCACATTTTCTGTGCTAAAAGAGGCATAGCAGTGAAATGTTTTAGAATCTTAGAATTAGATGAGACTTAGAGGTCACTTTGTCTAACCTAACTGTGTGTGCAAGAGTCCCTTCTAGAACCATTTGCAGGGTGACCATTCAGTCTTTCTTTGAATGTTTCTATAATTTGGAGAGCATGTCTTTGTTCCTTTCATTTTTGGACCATTCTGTTCAACATAATCACTATTGTAATGGTCAAACTCAGCATGTGCTCAGAGCAGTTTTTGCTTCTCAAAATTCTGACTCTAACCAACAGTCTGATTACTACCAGGGATTATAAAAATTACTGGGAGTTCTGTCCTTTCACCATAAATCATGCCTTAGGAATTTAGAGATCATTTTCTAATTGTCTATCCAGGGCACAACTTTCTTCCACAGCCTTTTGATACCATTCCAGTCCTAGCACAAAACAGGTGTTCAATAAACACAAATGGCTGAATGTGATTTTTGTCTACACTGTTGCTCTTAAGAAAGTGGGTACTCAGTGTTTGAAGAATGAGTTGAGATTGCAAAGCCTCAAGTGTCTAGGGGTTTGGGGAGCCAGACCTAAGCTGAGCCTGAAAAGCAAAAGCAGATGTGTAGATGAGTTGTTATTACCTCAGACTAAATAAAGATCCATTAGAATGATAAATGAGAGTGACAGCAGCAGGCATGATGGCAAAACTTTCTCTGTGATCATGAGAGGAAACACTCTCATCTTTGTTTTCATATTGGAACACTTGGACGTAGTAAGTAGTGGTAAATAAAAGATCCTCGGAAAATGTTCCCATATTTTTATTAAATAATACACAGAGAAATCTTTGACCAATTACATAAAAATTATGAGAATTGTTACTCTTAATATAAGAAACTATGTATTATAAAATTTTGTAAGATTTATTACTGTTGACACTATTATCTCCTTACTGGAAATAAAATAAACATTAGAAATCTGAGAATAGTGTCTTTTTTCCCATTCTTTTAGTTTGGAATTCTAGAGTTCTTTATAGATATTACAATTTTATTTCTATGTAGTATAATTGTTTTTCTGCCTTTGCAGGAGCTGTAAATAAGGTTGACTGGATATGTCTCATCTGATGTTACAAATGATTAATGTGGACTTGAGATCTTGGCTGCCCAGAAGGTTATTTATAACTTTCAGGCATATTCTCATAGAATGCTGGATGTCAAGGGAGAGAATGTCATGTTATATGAGATGTTCCTGGACACACAGTCTTGGTGGTTTTTTTTTTTTTTTTTTTGGAGACAACACTCTCTTGCCCAGCTGGAGTGCAGTGGTGCAGTGAAATCTCACTGTAACCTGAAATTCCTGGATTCTAGCAATCCTTCTGCCCCAGCCTCCTGAGTAGCTAAGGCTCTGGGCATGTGCCATAATACCCGGCTTTTAAAAATTGTTTGTAGAGCTGGAGTCTTGCTGTGTTGTCTAGGCTAGTTTTGAACTCCTGGCCTCAAGCGATCTTCCTGCCTTAGCCTCCCAAAGTGCTGGGATTACATGCGTGAGCCTCCACTCCCATCCTGGTCTTGAATTGTTTATTTTATTATTTTTCATAATGAAAAAGGATTGTTTGGGATCCACAGGTATCATATATTAGAAATTGCGTTTATAGAGTTAGATTTGAGGTTTGGGATTTATAGGCTTGAGACTTTTAACTCTTGATCTGGCTCAGTGGCTCACGCCTGTAATCCCAGCACTTTGGGAAATCCCAGCACTTTGGGAGGCCGAGGCAGGTGAATCATGAGGTCAGGAGTTTGAGGCCAGCTTGGCCAACATGGTGAAACTCTGTCTCTACTAAAAATACAAAAAATTAGCTGGGTGTGGTGGCGGGCACCTGTAATCCCAGCTATTCGGGAAGCTGAGGCAGGAGAATTTCTTGAACCTGAGAGACAGAGGTTGCAGTGAGCCAAGATCACGCCACTGCACTCCAACCTTGGTGACAGTGCAAGACTCTCTCTCAGAAAAAAAAAAAGAAGATTTTTATCTCTTTTCTTTTGTACAACACACAACTAACAGTCAACTTCTTTTTCCTGTCAACTAAGTGAAGGGAATTTCACTTTCCATTTCTTTGCAAAAACTTAAAAGTGTATCATATTTGGAAAGTAGAGTGGAGGTCATCCAAACTAACCTTATATGGTAACTTGATACATATACCTTGGCCCAGGATGTATAATTCAGTGATATGTTTTGGTACTTGATGGCCCTTTATACTTAGAAGTAGAAAAAGGGATATTTTTTGTTGTGGGTCCAAGCCTGGAGGACTCTGCCATAATCCTTTTTACCCCGAAGTCTTCCATGTAGGTATTTCACTTTCAAAGGACTTTCTGAAGTAGGGGTTATAATTAGTTGAGCAGTTATGGACCCTTTTGAAAATTTGAAGAAAACCCCAAGCATTTTACCTAGCAGAGGATATGCACACATTGACATATCTTTATATACAGCTTAAGAGGAATACATTTTTATTGACCTCTTGGAGGCCATCCTTCTAGGACATAATAGGTACTAAATACCCATGCTTAAAGTGAACTTCATCTGTGGGAAAGTAACTTAATGAGGACCTATGGGATATCTGTAGCTACTTAGCCCAAATGATTTTGTATCAGGATGTTAATGCTTTTACTCTGCAACAATTTGAACATATAACTTTTCTAATTTCTTTTTACTTTCTAGTGTATTTCTTTAGCTAATATTATTTTGAACTTTTGTTTTATTGATTATGTTTATTATGTTTTCAAAACCTTACTGTTTTGTATTGCTTTTTTTTAAAAAAATACTTTTTGTTGTGAAGTATAGCAAACATACTGAAAAGTAATTAAAACACAAATGTATAGTTTAATAAATAATTTTGAGTGTAACTGTCAATCAAGTCAAGAAATACAACATTGCCAGCTCTTCAGCAGTCTACCTAGATTTCCAATGAAAACGCCCTCCTTTTGGTAGAAGTAGGCATTAATCTGACTTTTAAGATAATTATTTCCTTCTTGTTCTTTATAATTTTAGCATCTATATAATCACCTTTACAATACCTTAATCTTTTAGAAAGTCTTGTAATTGACATTTATTGTATATGTTTTTGTTTTGCTGTCTCTCAAAATTATGCTTCTGTGTGTCTTTCATGTTGCTGTAGATAGTTGTAGTTCATCTACTTTCATTGTTGTATCATTTCCCCATTATATGAATATAACACAGTTTTTCTATTGGCTATACTTTGATCAGGATTATTATGATACTCACCAAGAGAACTTTTGATTCTGCATTTTATATTTTGCCTTTAGATCAATTTTCCTTTTATTAATAAGTCAAACATTAACTAGTAAATTTGTTACATGTAAATAATTTGAAAATTCAAATAAGAATTTGAAATCAATAATCAAGTTTTATTATAATCTGTGACTTTACTTTCAAGAATTCTAAGCCTATAGTATAGTGTTTTTCTAAATATTTCATATATATTGTATACCTGGCCATCAGAAAAGTGAATTAAGCAAGTTCAGCAAATATTTGAACATTACTATAATCCAGGTACTATTATAGGTGCTAAAGGCTTGTAGCATTTTAGATGTATAGTTAATTTATTCTGTATATATTGTCAGAATAAAGATCTATGTTTTTGTTTTTAAAATATCGTAGTACAGGAAGCTATAAAATGAACAGTTTAACTTCCGGGGTTTTTTTCCCACCCCCTGTATCCAGTGCTAATTTTTTTGACTATTCTTTCTAGAAAAAAAGATAATAATGTTACTTATCGATATCCCTAAAATATTACACAGTAGAATCGTCATATACACCTTTTATATTTTCTTTTTCTTTTTTTTTGAGACAGTCTTGCTCTGTCACCAGGCGCCATGCTAGGTAGAGCGCAGTGGCACGATCCCAGCTCACTGCAACCTCCGCCTCCCAAGTTCAAGCAATTCTCCTGCCTTAGCCTCCCAAGTAACTGGGACTACAGGCACGTGCCACCATGCCCAGCTAATTTTTTTGTGTGTATTTTTTAGTAGAGAGGGGGTTTCATGTTGGCCAGGATGGTTTCGATCTCTTGACCTCATGATCCGCCCGCCTCAGCCTCCCAAAGTGCTGGGATTACAGGCGTGAGCCACTGCACCCGACCTATATTTTCCTTTTACTTAATAAGAGAATCTTGATTTTGAGGACAGTTAGCATTTTTTAATTAGGAAATCACCAGAAGCTTAAAATAGAAATAGTGCTTGATATCTTCTAGATAATCTCACCCCCCCAATTTTTTATTATAGAGGCAAGGATGTTGGGAAATACTATACTTTAACTTATTAGAAATCGTAAGATTTACTTATAGGGCATGACAAAATTTACGTATGGAAAATCGTAACTTTGATTTACTCTGTATCTGTATTATTTTCTTAGGCACTATTGGAGACCATGTTTGGTGTAAAAGTGATCATAACTGGGGATGCATTTGTTCCTGGAGAAAGAAGTGTCATTATCATGAACCATCGGACAAGAATGGACTGGATGTTCCTGTGGAATTGTCTGATGAGATACAGCTACCTCAGATTGGAGAAAATTTGCCTCAAAGCCAGTCTCAAAAGTGTTCCTGGATTCGGTAGGTTATTACTCATACATTATTTTAAGTGGTTCGTTCATTTTATATGTAATGCACCCACTGTAAAACTGACTTAGGCATTAAAGGGATTCTATTTTTATCCTCATTGGGCTAAAAACAATCTCAGGTTCTTTTGTCTTTAGAGGATCTGCTATGGCAGATGACTTTATTTTAATCTCTTTTTTTAAAGTATTATTCTGAAAGAGAAATAAACACTTCTCAAGGAAATGGATATATAGTGTCTGAGGATCACCAAATTGAAGGACATGAATTAATAGTTAAGTAACTTTTTATTGCATGTAGTATTTGTGATTTAGGCCAGAAACTGGTCTGTGCTGATAAAGTACTTGACATTGACTGATTCATTTATAGTTATGTAGTAAATATTAATTGAATACCTAGGTTCCAAGCATTATACTAGGTGTTGGTACTTTCTGGACTTCCCCAAACTATAACTTTTTTTAAAAAAGCCTTTTTTAAAAAAATTTTTTTTAAAGACAGGGTTTCACCTTGTTGGTCAGGCTGGTCTTGAACTCCCGACCTCACGTGATCCGCCCACCTTGGCCTCCAAAGTGCTTGGATTACAGGCATGAGCCACCAAGCCCGGTTGTGCTTATATAATATAATATTAAAGTTCCTGGAAATATTTATTTTAAATGGCTAGGAATACAACATGTTCATTGTGTGTTGGAGAAGTAGCGATATTTCAGCATTGCATGTTAAAAACATATGGCCTCTTTTCTCAACTTGCTACTTAATGTTAAATAAGGGAGGGGAACAGATTATAATATATTCAAACCAGTTATTCACATGGGTACCCACTGTATACTCCTGATAGCCTCATTAATTACATTTATACTTCTGTGGTTTACCTAGGTAACATTTCTTACTTATTTAAACTATTTACCCTCTTAAACCCTGTGTCTGTTAGTGTACTGACATGGTTTATGATTTGTGAGGGCAAAGGTCAGGCCCTCACATGATAGGCCAGTAAGGGTAGACTAGTAAGGGTATTTGTGGTTGATTTACTCTTTGTGTTTTAATTGCTTTTGTACTCGTTTTATCTTTCCTTTTGCCACTTTTCCAATATAGAGGTCTCAGGTTAGTAAGATTTCTTATATGGCAGCTGGCTTTTCTTAGAGAACACTCTCCCATGAGAACTAGCAAGAAGCTACAAGGTGTTTTATGACCTAGCCTTAGAATTCAAATAGCATCACTCCTACCATATGTTATTGGTAGAAGCAGTTACCATCCTCAAAGATTCTAAGGGAGGGAGCATAGACCTCACAGATTCAAGATGTGTCGTAGATCTCAGTATTTAAAAAGTTGCCAGAGGACTGATAAATAAAAAACGGCCCATATTACCAATAGCAAGATTGATTCTAAATGAAATATGCTAACAGGATAATAAGAATAACAATATGCCAGTGACTTTAAAAGTATATGAGATTTAAAAAATACAGAAAAATGGAACTGACAAAATCTGACATTAACAGAAATTGAAAAAGCCACATTCAATCTCTATGGTGTGTCTAATAGAGATTGAATCCATAATTAAAAGTCTTCTTACAAAGGTTTTTGTAGGACAGTGGCAACTGTGTATTTTTTGTCACCTTTATTTTTAAAAAAATATGAAATCAAGGAGAGGAAAGAAAACCATGTATCACCTGTCTGTGTAGTATGAGAAGACATAAAATGCCATAAACTTTCAATTGATTAATGAAGAGAAGTAAATTCCAAAACATTTTCTTCTGCCCTCCCATCTTCATGAATTGAAGAGTACTAAGAGTGGGGAGAAGAAGATTAAGAGTAGAATGATATGCAACTGGGGCTTGCTGGCAACTCTGTCCCTTCTGGTGGCATTGTGTGCATGCATGCGTTCACCCTCCAGGGCCAAAAGATTTGCCTTCCCAGTGTCCCTGCCTCCTGTAAAGCCACACTGCAGCATCCACAAACCGCTGCAGCCTAGGCTACTGAGGCACTCACAGACACCACTGATGTTGATGAAAGCCAAAGAAATCATATGGAGTCTATATTACTGTTTTTATAGGGAACCAAAGTCAAAGCACTCTACCCAACTGACTATATGACATATCTACAGGAAAAAGTTTTTCCCTATAAAAGCTATACCATACAGTTGGAAAAAGTGATGGTGCCATCATATGCATAGATACCAGTGTAGGGACACAGGAAATGTGAAAAAGCAAGGAAACTTGATACTCTAAAGGAACACAAGAATTCTCCAGTTAATGGACCCCAGAATAGAGGAAACCCATCAAATACCTGAAAAAGAATTCAAAATAAAGATCTTAAAGAAACTCAGCAAAATACAAGAGAACACAGATAAAGGATTCAAACACAATCAGGAAATAAATCATGATCTGAATGAGAAATTCAGGAACATGGTAGATAGTGTAAAAAAGAACCAAACAGAAATCTTGAAACTGAAAAATTCAGTAAATGAAATAAAATCAAGAGCTTCAACAATAAACTAGATCAAGCAGAAGAAAGAATTTCTGAATCTGAAAGCTTGTGTTTTCAGATAACCCAGTCAGATCAAAATAAAGAATGAAGAAAGCGTACAGAACATATGGAACACCATTAAGTGATCAATTTTTGCATTATGGGAATTGGAAAGAAGAGGTTAAAAAAAAAGGCATTGTAACCTACTTAATGAAATAATAGCTGAAAACTTTCCAAGTCTTGGGAGTGATATGGATGTCCAGATACAGGAAGCCCAGTGATCTTCATCCAGATAAGTTTAACCTGAAAAGGCCTTCTCCAGGGCGGGCACTGTATGGTCGAACGTTCAGAAGTCAAAGAGAGAATTCTATAAACAGCTAGAGAAAGGTACAAAGTCACATAAAAGGGAATCCCCATCAGACTAATGGCAGATTTCTTAGCAGAAACTTTACAGGCCAGGAGAGAATGGGATGATATATTCAACATGCTGAAATAAAAAACTGACAGCCAAGGATACTATAACTGGGAATGCTATTCTTTAGAAATGAAGAAGAAATAAGTCTTTCCCAGATAAGCAAAAAGGAGAATTCATCATCACTAGACTGGCCCTAAAAGAAATGATTAATTACTTCTTCATCTGGAACAAAAAAAGGCATATCTAACCATCGTGAAAACATGCAGATAAAGCACACTGGTAGAACAGATATATAGATGAAAAAGAGAAGGAACTCTAACACTACAGAAAATCACCAAATTGCAGAAACAGTAAGGAAGAAAGGTAAAGGATATACAGAATAACCAGAAATCAATTTAAAAGTAGTGGGGATAAGTCCTCACCTATAACAAGCTTGAATGTAAAGTGTTTAAATTCTTCAATTAAAAAATAAAGACTGGCTGAATGAATTTAAAAAAAAAAAAAAAAAGGCAAAACAGGACCCAACTATATTCAGCTTATAAGAAACTGACTTCACCTGTGAAGATACACATAGACTTCAAATGAAGGAATAGAGAAATTTCATGCACACGAAAACCACACATGAGCAGGAGTAGGTATAGAACATCAGATAAAATAGATTTCAAGTCAAAAAAAAAAACCCACAACATAAGAAGTGACCAAGAAGGCAACTATTAATATATAATGATAAAGGAATCAATTCAGCAAGAGGATATAACAGTTATAAATATATAAACATCAAACATCAGAGCACCCAGATATATAAAGCAAATACTGTTAGATCTAAAGGGAGAGTCAGACCCTAATATAGTAAATGTTGCAGACTTCAACACCTCACTCTCAGCAACATGTAGATGATCATCCTAGACATACTAGATTTAAATTGCACTATAGACCAAGTGACCTAATGGATATTTAAATAACATTTTATTTAACAGCCACAGAATATACATATTTTCATCAGTTCATGGAACATTCTTCAGGACAGATCATGTGTTAGGCCACAAAATAAGTCTCAGAAAATTAAAAAAAATTGAAATTATGTTAAATATCCGGTCAGACCACAATCTAATAAAGTTAGAAATTAATAACAAGAGGACATTTGGAAACTGTACCAGTATTTGGAAATTAAACATGCTTCTGAATGACCAATGGATCAATCAAGAAATTAAGAAGGAAATAAAAAAAATTTTTGAAGCAAATGAAAATAGAAACATAACATACCAAAATGTGTAGGATACAGCTAAAGCAGTAGTAAGAGTGCAGCATATAGCAAGAAATGCCTACATCAAAAAGGTAAAAAGATTTCAAATAAATACCCTAATTCACCTCTATGAACTAGGAAAGCAAGAGCAAACCAAGCTGAAAATTAGTTATAGGCAAAGATATAAGAAAGATCAGAGCAAAAGTAAACAAAACATAGACTAAAAAATACAAAAGGTCAATGAAATGGAATGTTGATTTTTTTGGAAAGATAAACAATAAAACTGATAAAACATTAGCTAGACTAACAAAGAGAGAAGATGAAAAAAAAAATTGGTGTGTTAGCTCATGCCTGTAATCCCAACACTTTGGGAGGCCGAGAGAGGCAGATCACCTGAGGTCAGGAGTCCTAGACCAGCCTGGCCAACATGGTGAAACCCCATCTCTACTAAAATACAAAAATTAGCCAGGCATGGTGGTGGGCACCTGTAATCCCAGCTCCCTGGGAGGCTGAGGCAGGAGGATTGCTTGAACCCAGGAGGTGGAGGTTGCAGTGAGCCGAGATTGCGCCACTGCACTGCAGCCTGGATGACAGAGCCGGACTCCATCTCAAAAAACAAATTAGTAAATAAAAAATTAGAAGTGTAATATGAAATATTACAACTGATACCACAGAAATACAAAGGACCGTTAGAGGATATTATGAATTACTATATGCCAACCAATTGGAAAACATAGCAGAAATTGATAAATTCCTGAACATATAACTATCAAGATTGAAATAGGGAAAAATAGAAAACCCAAACAGACCAATAACGAATAACGAGATTAAATTAATAATTTAAAAACTCTCCCAGCAAAGAAAAGCCCAGGACCAGAT